ATAGACACAGATATACGGCCATACAGGCAGATGCTGGCACATGCACACACACACACAGATGCACAGCTACACAGGCACACACAAACACCAAAGCCAAACAACATTTTAGCTAGAGAGAATCTTAGAAGTTTTCCAAAAATTTTTTTGTTTTGTTTTGTTTTTTTTTTTGTTTTTCGAGACAGGATTTCTCTGCGTAGTTTTTGGTGCCTGTCCTGGATCTCACTCTGTAGACCAGGCTGGCCTCCCAAGTGCTGGGATCAAAGGTGTGCACCACTGCCACCACCACCCAGCGTCTTTAAAATTTTGATCTCCTGATTTTACTGCAGCCCAGAGAAGTGAAGGAATTAGCCCATGATCACAGCTTATTTTATCCTTTCTTTCCTTCTACCCTATCCTGTTCTTTTCCTACCTTCTCTAGATTGTAAGTCTAGATCACTGATCTAAAACCTTCTTAGACCGGGCATGGAGATGCATGCCTTTAATCCCAGCACCCAGGAGGCAGACACAGGTGGATTTCTGTGAGTTCATGGCCAGCCTGGTCTACAGAATGAGGTCCAGGACAGCCAGAGCTACATTGAAAGACCCAGTCTCAACACCCTCCCAAGAACGTTTTCTTGTACTCTGTAGGCACTTAAAGCATTAAATTTCACTAAATGAATATTGCTTTAGCTGTATCCCTAAATACTGCTGTATAATGTGTTTTCCAATTTTTATTGTGATTCCATTCACTTGTGGGTGACTGAGAAGTGTGTTGTCTAATTTCTAAGTATTTAGAGCTTTGTTGGGTATCTTGTTACTGACTCCTAATTTAGTTCTGCATTAGTCAGAAGGCATAGACTACAATACTCCTGCTTGGGAATCTACTTGGACTCACTTTCTGACCCAGTGTATGGGTTATCTTAGTAAATAATTCACATGCACTTGAAAAGAATTTGTATTCTGGGAGTTTCAGGGGGTATTTTTCCAACAGTAGCAGTTAAGTCAACACAGCTGATCCTGTTGCTCAAGCCGTCTACATCTTTAACCAGTCTTTGTCTTTTTAATTTACTATTTGTAAGTGTGTGCACGTGTGCGCAATGCCATTGGCATGCACGTGTGGAGCTCAGAGAACAACTTTCCAAAGTTGTTTCCTTCCATGGGGGTTCAGAGGGTTGAACTGAGGTAGTCGGGCCGTCAGGCTTGCTCAGCAAGTGCCTTTACCTGCTGAGCCACCTCAACATTCTGATATGTAAGTATCTGTGCTGAGATCAAACCCAAGACCCCACCCATGCTATACCAGCACTCAACCACTGCTTCAAATGCTCAGGGTTTTTGTTTTTATTTATGTATTTTATTTTTTAAGACCTATTTTATTTTTTAGGGTCACTCGTAGCTTTGGCTGTCCTCGAACTTGCTATGTAGCCTCGAACTCACAGAGATCCACCTGCCTCTGCCTCCCAAGTGCTGGGAATAAAGGTGTGTGCCACCATGAGGTCACTGGTTTTTGTTGTTGTTGTTGTTTGTTTTTAAAGTATATTTATTCTGCTCTTTGTTTTGTTTTGGTTTTTTGAGACTGGGCTTCTCTGTGTAGCCCTCGCTGTCCTGGAACTTGTTCTGTAGACCAGGCTGGTCTTGAACTCAGAGATCTGCCTGCCTCTGTCTCTGAGTGCTGGAATTAAATGTGTGCACCACCACATCTGGCTTTGTTCTTCTCTTTATTGGATTAGAGATGTTCACACTCTCCACAAAGCACCACATTTTAGGCAGGGAATACTGGCTTATGCCTGTAGTCCCAGCTTTGGAGGAGACGAAGGCGAAGGGCCAGCACAAGTCTGAAGCCTGGCTGAGCTACATAGTGAATCTGAAGGCAGTCTGGAGCGGCACGGTAAGACTTTGTCTTAGAAAGCAAAACAAATATTTAAAAAGCCCCCAACTCCCCCCTTTAAAAGTAAAAAAAAATCCCACCATATTTTATATGATTCCATTTATACAGAATGTCCAGATCATGCAAATATGTAGAGGCAGATCTTTGCAAGGCTTGGCTTTGTTCTGTGTGTGTGTGGGTGGGGGCATATGTATGACTTCCTTAACCTATCTCAGTACATCCTTAACTTATTTTGGTCTATTTACAGTTACTATTGCACCAATATAGCACTTCCCACTTCCCATTTGACACATCCCATTTTGTACTTCACACCAGACACTTCCAATTCACAAATCCATTAATCCACGACAGCATAATTTCATTTTCCTACCCCCTCATTTCTTGTGCAATTGTCCAACATCTCGAATGTGTTGCAGAGCCCAACATAGAGGGTTATTTTTCTTTAGTCAGTTGTCTTGTAAGGAATTTCAGCAAGGGACAACACATTCTATGTCCACTCATTTCTAAGCTTTGTTCTCACTGACCATCTTCAACACTAAACCATGGCATCACTGGAGCTTCTCATGGACGTTTGGGGTATCCAAGTTTTGCCCATTTTTGTCTGGGCCAGACCTCTCACATCTTCCAGACCTGCTCAGTCATATAGCAGTTGTCCTCTAGTAAGTCCCACATTGCACATGCCAGGGAAGTCCCCGGGTCAAAGTTTGCAGTGGACCCCATAAGACTGTGGTGTACCCTTAAGCCTAGCTCCCTTGTCAATGGTACTGTGCTCCGATCGTTCAAGCTGCTTCCACGGCCCTCAACGCTGGAGCTTGCCACCTCAGTTCAAGTCCGCTTCTGGTCTACTTCTCTGCACAGCAGTCATGGAACTGTGTCCAAGCCAAGAACTGGGGAGGTGCTGGGCTCACCCTCAGAACTGCCATTCTGTGATGACTGTGTTCCCCTCAGTGACCCAGTGCTCTGGTTGAGAGCCAGGGTCCACTGCCAGGTATGTGAGAGAACAGCCCCAGACATTTTGGAGTGGAGAGGAGCTACCCTGATGTGCCTTATCTGAAATTTTGACCCACTGTATCTGTGAACTTAATAAAGTGTTGTTTTATGTTACCAAATCTTGGAGAGTAGGTGATTTTTTTATTTTGTTTGTTTTTGCTTGGTTGGTTGGTTTGGTTTTGATTTTTTGATACAGGGTCTTGTGTATCCCAGGCTGGCCTCAAATGCACTATGTTGCCAAGGATGACCTGAACTTTTGATCCTCCCGTTTAGACCACCCAAGTGCTGGGATTACAGGTGTGTGCCATGGTGCTTAATTTTACGGGATACAGTTTGTCATAGCCACAGTCACTGCAACACTATAAGGAGCTGCGGTCCTTTGATGCCTGTTGGTCAACGCTGGAAATAATTGCTTTACAAATTAATTGCTTTACAAATTTTGTTCTGTGCTATTGTTGGAGAGCTAGACTCCTGGCCAGAAGCTCTAAATCTGAGGCCCAGTGCTCTGAGATAATGATACAGATAATTCTAACGTCAACATTAGAACAGCTTCTTTGTACAGACTGCTTTCTACATACAGACTGCTTTCTACAACCAGGCTGAGCATTTCAGATACATAATTTCAGTGAAACCATACAACAATCTTCTGAAACCGGCATTAGGAGTATCTACTGTTTAAACAACTTGCCCTGGTGTACATGCAGGTTTGAAAGCCCATGTAAGCAATGGACACTATAACTATGCACAGAAACACAGACTGTCACACACTATATACACCCACATGTGTTCTTGCATAGACACACAGAGATGTATACCTACTACACATTTCCAGAGCATTTATGCTTTTAAAACATTTTTAATGCCCAGAGTTTAAAATCCCCCCCCCCAATTCATGTTAAACAGATTGAAAGGGATTCAATCTGCTAGATATTAAGTTTCCCAAGCATACCCCAAGATGAAATTCTCTCCATCTGGGGCCACCACAGGCATGGGCGGCAGAGATACTGTCTCTGTTCCTCTGCCAGGGATTGCCTAGGGGGAGGCGGGATGGGACTCTTAGCAAGACTTGGCTTTGTAGGCAGAAGCCTTCTCCTGGGACCTCATGACTGCACTTGATGCTGTAAGAGTAAATCCAGAGAGGCAATCGAATCCTCATATGCAAAATCGGAGAGTGCCTCCTCTATTGCAAAGGGAAGGGCTGACTGAGTTGGAGAATGGATTGCCTGTTAAGACAAGGTCATTTCCAGATCTCCCCAAGCCGCGATGGGAGCTAGTGAATGGAAGGAAGCAGGGCACAGAACCTGCACTCCAATGCTGAAAACTTATTTCCACCTCTTCTTACAACAGTGGGTGCTATTCTTGAAAGTGGAAAGAACAGATTTTTTTGGTGTGTGTGTGTGTGTGTGTGTGTGTGTGTGTGAGAGAGAGAGAGAGAGAGAGAGAGAGAGAGAGAGAGAGAGAGAGAGAGAGAGAGAGAGAGAGAGAGAGAGAGAGAAATTGGTGCTAATACAATCAAAGCGGAAAAGAGACCCCTTGCACCGATCCCCATTCCACCGATCCCCATTCCACCTCACAAAGGTTCCACTGTGCTACCCCCGCCAAGCAGTTGAGAAAAGTGAAATGAGAAATCTTTTGAGGTTTATTTACCTCTGCCTCCTTTTCTCGCTTTCGGTCCTAAAGCACTATTTAAAGCTCCCCTTAGGAGCTTTAATACGGACCTCTGCAGACTGGCCCTGTTTGACAGATTAAACTGGTTTTGAGCAGTTTAAAAGGCTTGCTTTTGCTAGGTAGGGCAGCGCAAGCCAGAAAGGAGGCCACGGTTGCTCTGGCCAGTCAGCAGTACCCTCTACACTACACCCCAAGTGCCGGGACATTCCATGGGTGAGCGTCTTAGTCTCCCCGGCTTAGCAGTGAAGGTGGGGTTCTCTCTAGGCTCTAGTCGGTCTGTCTGTCCCGTCTGGTCACCGTCTCTTGACCCTGCTAGTCAATGAGGGATCGCAGGCCTGTGTGGTCCCACACAGCTTTGACACCGGGAGAAATCCTGTCCCGTCTCTTTGTGTTCAAGTTATCAGAGCGAGGGCAAGCAGCTGGTCGCTGAGAGGGGACCGCGGTTGGCGCCCCCCTCTCTGCCAGGCACACACCGTACCTCCGCCTCCTGGCGCAGCTCCGGGCGTCCTAGCCGGGCGGGCTGTGCGTCCCGGCAGCTCCACAGCAGCAGTGGCAGGGAGCGCAGCAGGAGGCTCACGCCGGTCACCATCGCGGCCAGCTGCGGGGTGCTGCTGGTGGTCAGCTGCGCCCGACTCCCGCGAACGCCAGGTCGTCGTGGTCCACGCGCAGACCTGCCAGCTCCCGGGGCTCTCTAGAGCCCTGCTCCGCCGCCGCCCGAGGTCGGCCCGCACCCGCGGTGCCTGCCCGCGGGTCGGCCGGCCGGAGGACCGAGGGGGCGGAGAGGGGAGGGAGTGCCGGGCGCCGCCCCACCCACCAGCCTTTTCCGCCCGCGGTGCAGCCTCGCCCCGGCGCCTGCTGCCACTCTTAGTCCCCGGTCTCTCCAGGAAGGGCCCGGACAGATAGGTCTCCTAGTTATTCAGTTACGGTAAAGAAGGGTCCCGGCCTAAGCGAGGTTTCTGGTTTCGGTCAGGTGCGGGGCGAGGTCCTTGACTGAGGGAGAAGCCAGGGCTGGGGTCAGGGAGCTGGGGGCTTTAGTTTGAGATGGGCTCCTTTGGAAATACTCTGAGTGCCGCCCCAGCCACCAGCAGGCTGTGTAGTCCTGGGCTACTCACCCTTTCTGAACCTCTTACCGTGGGGAAATAGGGATAAGAATGCATAGATCTTGGGGTCTAGGGGGGAGATTCAATGAGATGATGCCGGCACATGTGTAAGCATGGTGCCTGGTATTACGCAGAACACAGTAAATGGCAGGATGCGATGGTGCCGGCTTTGCTAAAGGATCATCTACTTCAAGTGTCGCTTTCTTCATCAGTAGGAGAGTATGTGATATTTAGTTCCCAGAATAGCATGAAAATGAAGGGCATACATCCCCAAAGAGTCCATATAGACCATACAGTGTGTAAGGACGGAATGGAAAGATCTCTCTGGCAGCCTTTGCTACACACATACTGAGCAAAAGTGAACTCCTCTGTGTCTACCTTTGAGAGGACTCGCAGGTTGCTGTCTCAGTCCACTCATCTGTAAAATGTAAACGGGACCAGGACTTCCTCCTTCTGGGATTAGGTGAGGGTTGTAAAAACTAATCTGGAATCTATTAAATGCTAAACAAAAATAATGCAGTGTTCTAAACCCTGAGGCCTCAATTGCCCTCGAAGTTTTGTGGTAGAAAAAGACACTGGGGTAGAGGACATGGAAAAAGTTCTTTGAATACACATCTCCATCTTATAAACAGGCATTCCCTGTGTGGCACTAACTGGAAACAGCACTCTCTTCCACCATACCTTCCAACCAACCAGTGGAAAGGGGCACCCATCTCTGAGGATTAGAAACAAGCACTCCTCTGGGAAGACCAACGAGAAAAATCCACCCTTCCCTGGGGCAGACAATCCCTGTGCCAGGGAGCAGCTGGGAGCAGAGCTGGAGATGGGTTTCTTCACCTAACTATCCAGCAGGGCATCCTCCTCAGAGGTGCCGCCTGAGGCTTGAGCCTTGTCCTCAGAGCTTCCAGTTCACTGCCATGGTCTACAGTGTAAATTCTCAGTTAAGAACAAAACAAATGGTGGGCAAGCTTCGGTGACCTGCAAGAGGGGTTCTGAAGGGGAGCGGGACAGAGTTGCTAAAGACAGCAAATAAAAAAAAAACCCATAACCCTCAGTTAAACTTCAATATTACATTAAGAGTTGTCTAATCTAGGTGGGTATCGTGTGGTATTCGGGGCAGGCATACTAAAAATGACTAGACAGAGTTCAACTGGGCATCTTATAGTTTAACTGGCAACTGTAGAGCCTATGTATAAATTATGGGTATGACAATGGCATCTGGTAGCCTTCACTAACGGGTGGATTCTAACAGGCCTGAAAGCACGTCTTTGGATCAGGGAGCTCTGGGAACTAAGGGACACCTAACTGAGAGTAGACTCTGAGCAGACGTCCAGTCTGAGCTGGCCAGAGTCTCTTCCTCCAGTCAGAGTCTCTCCATCCTCTCTTCTAGCACATCCCAGCGTCTGTTTCAGCTGCACTATTGAGAAAGGGAAAGAGGGAGCTGTGGGTCTCTAGATAGCGCAGCATCTGGAAGAACACAGGCTTGGCCACACAGACGGCTGACTCTGCCTTCCTATGAACCCCAGGTCAGTCCCATTCACGGACCTCTCACACTGCTGAGTTGGGGAGCTACTTTCTTTCACTTTACCCTGTCTCCTAGGTTGAGCTATTAGGGTCCCCCAGAACCCCCCACACAGCAGGGGCTAGAGTAATGGCTCAGCGGATAAGAGCACTTGCTGCTCTTACAAAGGACAGTAGTTCACCTTCCAGCACCTACAATGGTGGTGCTCCAGGGGATCTGATACCCTCTTCTGACCTCTGAGGGCATTAGCGTCCATGTGCGCACACCCGCATGCACACACACACACACAATTAAAAGTTAAATATTTTAAAATAAAGATCTTTAAAAAAATTTATGTGTATGGATGTTTTGCCTGTATTTATGTTATGTATGTGCACCACATGTGTGCAGTGTCCTTGGAGGGCAAAAGAGGGCATCAGATCGAGTAGAAATGGAGTTACAAACAGCTGTCAGCTGCCATGGAGGTGCTGGAAACGAAACCTAGTCCTCTGCAAGAGAAACCAGTGCTTTTAACTGTGGAGCTATTTCTCCAGCCCTTAAAATAAAGGTGGCACATGCCTTTAATCCCAGGACTTGGGAGGCTGAGGCAGGTGGGAATCTGTGAATTCAAGACCAGGCTGGTCCAGAGAGTCAGTTCCAGGACAGCCAGGGCTACAGAGAAAGACCCTGTGACTTCTTTATGAGAAAACTATTCTACACATTCTTTTTTTAAAGGATGAGAAAAATGAGGCTCAGAGATCCCATCATTTGCCCAATGTCCTAGTTCTAGTAATGGAGGCAGGATTCAAACCTGAATGGTGTAACTCTAGAACGCTGCATTATCATACATCAAGTGAAATGCATAAAATGTGGTTCTTAGGTCCCTCACAGAAACAAATGCTAAAAATTCTGATTCCTGGGCTGGGCTATAACTCAGAGATCAAATGTCTGCCCAGCAAGCACAAGGCTCTGGGTTCAGTCTCCAGAACACAAAACTCCCTTCCCCCTTCCAGAAACATTCAGATTCCTGAGGTTTACTGCAGACTTAACGAATCACTAAATACCGAATGCCAGCGTCCAAGAGGAAATCAGCTCCGAGTTTTCCAATGGTCTTGTTTTTGTCTTCCTTCCTACCCCGTCTTTGCTGGGTGGTTTCTGATTCTGACCCAGCAGTGCTGGTAGCATTCACCACATGTCCTCTTCAAAGAGAGTTGCCTCCCCTCCCTTCCTCCTGCAGAACTTGGGGTTTGGCTTAGTTCCTTAGAGCCTCCCAACCCTCCCAGAGTGGACAGGACTCTGGAATTCTTGCCAGGCCTGGGCATGCTGTGTGCCAAGGGGAGTAGCCTTCAGCAGCCATTCCTCCTGTTCTGGCAGGTCACAGCAGGTTCCTTGAACCAGGCAAGATGTATGAACCAGAACAGGGAACCTTTAGGCCTCAGTTTCTCTCTGTATAACAGGAACAACCAGGGTTGTCTTTGCCCTTTCCTCCTCCCCAGGAAGTGTGCAGAACACAAAGTAGATTCTATCAGAAAGGATTCTGGGCTCCCAAGTAAGGCTGGTCACAGGACCAGCCTCAAGGAATCCCAAGAATAGCAAAATCTGAGGAATAATGAAGACAGGAGAGGAGCTGGAGAGGCTTTCTCTGGGTGGTGAGGGCTCTTGTGGAGATATGACTTATCATTGGCAGTGGCCTTTGAGCTTTTAGTGATGCAATTCCCCACTTTCTAGCAATCACCTCTGCCTACAACAGAGGGAGGTCCCTCCTCTCCAACACAGTGGACAAGGCCTTCTCAGTCTACGGCACCTTCACAAGTACACCTGAGAGATCTCTGTCTCTGTCTCTCTCTTCCCGATCTGGGAAAAGCAAGGCATTTGGAATGAGACAGACCTGGCTTTGAATCTTGGCCTTTTCATATTGTGTGACCTTTGTAAATTAACTAATGACTCTGAGTTTCTGCCATTCTCAAGTAGGACAAAGAGAATTCTTGTCTTTTCCCCATGCCCCTGACAAGTGATGAGGAGTGAGCAAGATAATTAGTAACCTGTCCTATCAAGTATTGGCAATGGGTTGCACAGACACAAGTGTTTACCCCTTTACCATGCAGTTTCCATACCTGGACCCACTCATATTCCAGACGACACACTGCAGAACAATCACAGTACTAATTCCGTAAGTTCGGAGCAGCCCCACTGCTCCGACCCTCATCACAGCTTAGCAAAAGCTTCGGCCTCTTCTTGGTTTGTTTTTTACTCACACCAGGACCCTGGGGACGTGTGAGGAACACAATAAAAGCTGGGCCAATCTGGCACTGTGCCCCACTTCCCTTCCACATAAAGGCTGTCTGCCGCCAGGCCAGGCATCTGGCCGGCAAGACTGGGCCATGACTTGCTCAGCATCTGCTGCTTTGCTTAAGAGACCTGCTAACAGGAAAGTGTCTGGTTCCTTTCCACCCTAAACAGGAAGTGCCTGCCACGGTGGGAGGACGGGGTAGCCTGGTCATTTAGAAGGAGTCTCCTGCTGCAGCTGGAAGGCCTGCTCTCGAGGAAGGCCGGAGGAACTGGGCCCCAGGGACCCCTCCCTTGCAAGGGGCGGAGTGCTGACAATGGCCACACACTGCCCGTGGCACTTGGCACAGAGCAGATGTCATTCTTTCAGCAAACACTCATGAGACGGTCACTTGTGCCTCCTGGGAGACATAGGACAGTTCTAGACAAGCTCTTCAAGTTTGAGGAGTTAACACACAAGACAGAAAGGCAGGTCATTTCTGTGTGGTGACACTCTTATTTACGCATTCATCGTACACAGGTTTCCCCCACCCCACCCCGACTTCCTTTTAAAAAATGCATACTGTTGGAGCTGGAGAGATGGATGGCTTCAGTCGTTAAGCGCACTTATTGGTCTTCCAGAGGAGCCGGGTTCAGTTCTCAGCACCCTAGGTAGCTCACAACCATCTGTAACTCCCCATTTCCAGAGGATCCAATGCCCTCTTTTGACCTCTGCCGGCACCAGGCATGCACGACAGGAAGGCAAAACACTCAATACACATAAAATCAAAATAAATAATCTTTTTTTATGTCTACCATTTTAGGTATTGTGGTGGGGTGCTGTAGGTTTGGAGAGAAATATGCCACGTATCACAGAACAAATTAAAAAAAAAAAATTGGAAAACCT